ACGTTGAATCCATTACTGGTCCAATGCATGCCACTCTCTTTTTCCCACTAAAGTTTTTCGACTTTCAGTGCTCTGGCTAGACAACTCTTTTTCTCATGATAAAATTAATCTTAGTTAGTTCTCAGATTTATTAAACCCTTAAACTGAATTACGTGTATTTGAATAAAAACTTATCATTGCTTATTAGGTATTCTGTAGTTCAGAGAAAGTTTTTTTTTTTTTTCAAAGGAACTGAGTTCTTTGTTATGATTTTCTGCATCGTCGGAAACCCACGGGTGATCTTGTCTTTACTTATGATAAGTAAACAGCTGGTAAAGACAAGATCACCTAGCTGTGGGTATCCGACGATGGATTTTCTGACAATGACGTACACTTTCAGAATTAACTAATTTATCATTAAACAATAAAAAGGTAGCAATTTTCTCTTCATGGCTCCGCCCTCACTAACGGTCACACCGTCTAACATATTATACTGAAAAAGGGATATACAAACGGGACTGCACAACTCTATCGGTCTTGTGAACAATCTCGACATTCACGAACGACAACTCTGCATGGTGAATTATGGTTCAAACGGTACCTGGTGAAAACGGCACCTAGATTATGCAAAACGGCACTTGGTCAAAACGGTACTTAGTGAAAACTGCACTTGGTCAAAACGGCACTTATAGAAAAAAGTATATGCAATGATAATTTGATATATAGATTGATATATATTTGTGTGAGTATATATACATGTAAACATATATATTTTTTGTTTTCTGGGAGGGTCCATTTCATGTATACATATGCTTAATAATTTTTTATGAAATCTATGTGATATATATATATATATATATATATATATATATATATATATATAAAATTAAATTATAATGTATGAACCTATGCATATACATACTTTTCCCCACCTGGGTTCGACACTAACGCTAGCCCGCTTGCCCGAGACAACTGAATATTGAGGTCGGGCTACCAAACATGTCTTTAAACTTGCCGTGCAGGGCTACAGTAAATTTTACCAATTACTCACTAAGAGCAAGAAAAATAATTATCACTTACATACAATATACCTGATAATAGTTAAATTTATTTCCAAATATGTTTTATCAGCATAATTATAGTTTTTTAAGTCAAAAATGTAAACTTTAAATGTGATTCAAAATACCCTAAATGATATAAATATAGAATTTTTCGAACAGTAAAAATGTCTTAGGTACAATCATAGAGTGACATATAATTTACACCCAAAATTCAGCCAAAATGTAGGATTTCGCATCTCTATTTTCAAAATTTTCCGGGGGAGGCCCCCCATATCCCCACCAGCAGGAGGGGGAAACCCCCTCCAGCACCTACTCCCCTCGTCGCTTCGTAGAAATTAGAAATTACTAGCCCTGCTGACAACTATGGTTTTAAAGTTAGTGTCGATCCCTGCCCACAGATTCATACATTTAAATACCAAATTTGAAATGATTTTTTTATTTATTTTATTCCTTGAAAGATCAGTATCTTCATCTTTTAGTCTCCTTTTTTTAAATTAATGAAATAAGAGCATAGTTTTTAAATGTAACGTTATTTTCAAAAACAAGATTATAAACAATAACAGCATCATTTTATCATCTAAATAAATTATTATTTGTAACAATATTATTAAAAAAACAAAAAAAAAAAAAAAAACAACAGCAACAAACAAATGTTTTTGTTCTTCTACAGTGTATGTACAGGTTTCATATAGTAAAAAAAAACTTAAGTAAATGTTGTATGGCTATTCAGATTTTATGTACAGTTTAGAGAGGAAAATCTAAGTTTCAATCCCTTTGACATATTGTCAAGAAATACACAATAGTAACTGTATATGATTGCAAATTGACGATCAACAAATTATAGAGGGGGAGGTGTGAAAAAGTCTTTTGTTTCTTATTCCTACAAGTGTATTCTAAGTAAACATACTCTGACTGGCTTTTAATTAGTCAGCTGTGACTGGCAACCCCCAAAATAGAGTAGTATACATATTAGCAATATTAAAAATTTTTAAATTTCAAAGGATCATAATAATATAATTTGGATTTGATCTCTTTTGTAGAAAATATTAGTCATATTATTTAAAGAAGTACACTTAAAAAAATCTAACCACTGTACAAAAGTACAATAATTTTCAAATGAATTAGTCAATTTTTTCCCCTAAAATATTTTTAAAACATTTTTATCAATAATTATATACACATTTATTACTATAAATGTAATATAAAGATCCATTTTCTGTATAAACAATATCAAATTCTCAAAATTAAAAAGTGCCGTTTTGACTACTCTCAAGTGCCGTTTTGCATATTTCCTAAGTGCCGTTTTCACCAGGTGCCGTTTTGACTTGTACCCTGCATGGTACTGTATGGATAACTATAGCCGGTCACCCTATAGCCTTAGTATATAAGTCCTCGAACCGCTATTCATGCTTCACCGGTATCGCAGTGGAGTAGGCTGTGACGTCATAGCTAGGATAACTATTGTGCTGTATTTTTGTGGCGCTAATTTTGAATTCTTAGCGAGAAGACTCCCAGATTGATTACTTTGATTGCTTTTAATGCCTAAATTGGTCTTATCTGTGATCAAAAAGATATTTACGACATGGTGAGTAACATAATATATTATATGTGACTATTATCTCTGAAGGTGTTTTCAGTGTAATATTACGGAAATTTATATTGTGACCATTCGGGTCTAGCTATTAAAAAAACTCTAACCAGAGGGCGCGCGCGCTCCGCTTTAGAGCGGATCCCACAGGCTTTCCAAACTCTTTCCAAAATCTGGAAAATTGGCTTGCGCGAGTAATTCAGTTTTCAAAAATTTCAAACTGAGTGTTGTGTATAAATTTAATGATTAAAATAAAGAAAAATAACAATCGTTCTATTTATTTTTTAATTTTATCAATCCGATTAAATCCGGATTAATTTTTCAAGTTAGTTTACACCAAGTTGCATTGGCGGCGTCCATGCATCATTGGAAACGAGAAGAAGTTTTATGTCTCATGGCTGTAATACAACAAATTCCCGAGCTTTGTAATTCGAGACTGAGATATTCAGATACCCAAAGGCTCAGATATTCAATGAAAGCTGGAATTTCTGTGATGGCAGGGCTGAGGAAACATTGATGGGATCAATGGTAAAGTTTAAATTCTGAATAAAATGAGACAATTTTTGTAAATGAGTAACACATGTCCATCAGGTCCAGTGCAATACCCCGATAAAGGTATATAGCTTGATATAAAGGGGTGCACGATGTTTCGGGACCACGACGTTTCGGGACCTGACTAATACGACGTTTCGGGACTAGTGACAAGACGGTTCGGGACTTGGGTAAAAACGATTCGGGACTTGGGTTATAAAGCTGTATAGCTTTATCAAGGTATTTAAAATACCTTGATCAAGGTATTTTATGTAATGAAAATTCAAAAAAAATCTTTAAAAGTTCATTATTGAAAGTCGAGTTCTGAGTTGTTGTCAGTAAATTCACCCATGCATGTAAAGTACTCAAACACAAAGAAATCAGTAGAAAAACATGTCGTGTGAGGAGACGTTATTTTATGCTTTTTTTTTATACCAGTGTTTTTCATGCACGAGTAGACACACTGACAAAAACTCAGAACTCGACTTCCAGTATTTAATTTTTAAAGAATTTTTTTGAATTTTCATTACATAAAATACCTTGATCAAGGTATTTTATGCCCTGTTCACACGGAGAGTTTAATTCGAATTAAACGTAAAGTTGCTGTGAATTAGCTTCGCTTAGTGTTCACACGGAGAATTTAATGCGAATTAGTTTAATTCGAATTAATTTACTGCGCATTAAATTACTTCGCATTAGCTCCGTGTGAACTCTAAGCGAAGCTAATTCAAATCAAATTTTGACGCATGCGTAAGGCCAGAATTAAGTCACAGGACACGTGTTGGTGGTTATATTTAGGTATTTGTGCTATATTTGGTTCAAAAATTGAGGAAAGTATGTTAATCACTAAAATCAATGAATACCTGTAGCCACTACATGATGTATCAAAGGATGGCTCTGCATACATGACGTGATTTACAAATGACGTCATAATAGACTTACTGACGCCTGACTGTAGAAGAAAAAATTTCATTCGCATTAGTTTACTTCGCATTAGCTGACGTGTGAACGCAATTTAATTCGCATTAATTTGATTCGCATTAGTTTACTTCGCATTAATTTACTGCGAATTAAACTCGTCGTGTGAACAGGGCATTAAATACCTTGATAAAGCTATATAGCTTTATCAAGCTATATACCTTCATCGGAGTATTGTGCTGGACCTGTCCATTGTTTTCAGTTCTCCTATTTAACATAGGCCAGAAGTATTGTGCTGGACCTGTCCATTGTTTTCAGTTCTCCTATTTAACATAGGCCAGAAGAGATTTAAAAAAAAACATCATAATAATCAGAATTCTACAAAAATTAAAGATCTCATTCTAGCATATTATAAAGGCTTAAAATTATATTTAAAAAAATCAATGTTATTACTCAATTAGGTCATACAAGTAGACCATATGTAACATGTACAACATTGTGTACATCCTGTATTCATGTACATGTATCTACAAGCTAAAAATTTTGAAAATCCAAATAATTCCTACTGAGTGCATGAAAATACAGATTACTATTGTAATAGAGTAGTAAATAAAAGTTTGATTTTAACAGGAAAGGGAGAAAACAATAAGGACAACACCAGGATATGACTACAATGTCACCCAAGGCTAAGGTAGAATGGGATACGTTCATGTACTTATGACGTACTTTTGTTCGAAGTATTGTTTTGATTTGGTTGAGTGCCTTTTTAAGAGTCAAAATTTGTACAGACACCGTTTAAAAGAACTCTCTTATATTGGAGATAAGAAAAACTCTTAAAAAGATCATAATCTCAACAATGTTTGAAGAAAGGCGTATAATCGAGCTGAAAAAAGCTTTAAAACGATGTAGATGAAAAATGTGCAAACAAAGGGGACCGACGTGAAAGGTGTAAACACAGAAAAAATGTTGCAAATACGCGACGAAAACGGGAAGTTTTTTGCGGAGCCAAGACACGACGAAGAAGTACAGCATGGTAATATTCATCTAGATCATGCATATACGTCAGGTATACAATTTATGTTATATTTTCCAATGTATTGCAATGTTGGAGATCACGAACAAAGACGAAATCGTTGATAAAACCGAGATGCACACATATTAATGCGACATATATAAAAGTTATGTTTAGCATGCCTATAAGTGCAATAATATTATATAGCTACTTCAATTATTTAACAGGTAGTGCTACAGCCTGTTCACAAATGAGAGGCATGGGTGATTATCCATCTGATAGAGAGACACTCTCTGAGTCTGAATCTGATTCTGATACAACATCTGCCTTCGAATCTGACAATGAAAGTGATTTATTGGATGACAATGCCGATGAATCCGTCCCAGGAATACCCCTTTTTGGCAGACACATAGTGGAGTTGCAAGTGTTGGGCAATCAACTGAAGAAAGGGTGCATCATGTGTGGAGAGAAATTGCAACTTTCATCATGTATTGGAGAAGGAAGATATGGATTAGGTAATGTGAAATAAAATAAAGAGTGACATTTTCAATATCATGACATTAAAATTAGCTGCAGATCTGAAGCTCTCTGAAAAAATATATATTGATAGACCGGAGAACCACAGTGCCACCCATTGAAAAAACTGTATATTTATTATGCACAAAAAAGTGCATGTGCTCGCTTCTCGATTTATTTCACTGTGTTTTTTGTGCGCAATAAATATCATATATTTTTCGGAGAGCTACAGATCTGCAGCTACATTAAAATACATTAATTTGTCGAAATACTTATTTTCTTCTTATTATGAGTAGGCAGTATGCTTCACATCAAGTGTCTTGCTTGCCAAAAATTGAATAAAATTCCAACTGGAAAGAGACGTCAAAATGGAGTATGGGATATAAACTCAAAACTGGGAGCTGGTAATTACATTATGTATATTAATATTTTTTATGGATACAGCAGACCTGTTTACTCTTACGATTTCGCCGTATTTTTTACGGATTTATAATCCAAAATACGTCTCACGTTTTGCTGTTATGAAAATACAGAAATACGTTTGTTTGGGATATATAGCAGTTAGTTTTCATTATGATCTGTTGAAATATGGCTGATAGAATGTCGACTTCGCTGAAATCAACAACAATCATTGACAGTCAATCGTTATGATCTGGTCGCTCACGTGGCGCATTGGTTAGAGTGCCTGCGCAGTAAGGACTTGCTCCTTACGTTGAGGGTTCGAATCCTACTTGTTCGACCTGGATACCGGTCCTTCAGATTAGACCATATCATCCGCAGTAGGTGCTAGCACAAAACAGACCCTTCCCTGCTTGATGGCCTTAAGTGCTGCGTTATGGACAAAATTTGCAGCTCTCCACCGGCAGGTGGTTAAAAAAATCTTGAGAAAGTCATTATACAATCAATCAATCATCGTTTTGATCTGTCTCAGTTTCACGCCTTTTACATGTTATCTCAATAAAAAAAAGATTTCAAGCACATTAGTGATTTCGAGTTGTTAAACATGTTGTAGTTTAAAATGACAAAGAACATGTTATTTAACCAGCATGTTTTAGTTATCAAAAAGCAGTTGTTTTCTATTTATATACGTAAAACCAATGGAAAACGAAATCTTACTGGCAAATGTTAAATCTCACGGACAAATCTTAGATCAAAAATACTGAGAGATGACGATAAGGGTAAACAGGTCTGATACAGATATAACTCTATTTGAATATGAGGAAATATATTTTAAGATATTATAATAAAATGTGCCCAATGTGTGAACACTATATAACAGAAAAATATTTTTTGAAAATTTAATGAAAATAAAAAATGCCAATTCATGTCACAATAAATCACCTTTAATATAGTTTGTAATAATTGAAATTTGTAACATTTACATTTCATCAGCTGTTTTATATACATGTACTGGAACTGGAGAAACAACAGTGAACAGATTTTTGGCAGCACAGAACTTACCCAATGTTGACCATAAAACATTAAAGAAGAGAGAGAGAGAGGCTGGTGCAGCATTTGAGGAAATAGCAGAATTGACATGTCAGGAAGCCATTAAAAAAGAGAAAGACGGGTACTTGAAATAAATTTCTTATATTGAGAACCGAAAGAAATGTCTGTCATGTGTAATTACATGTATATACAATATACATTTGTATATACAATTATCAATATACATATATATTTCCATTTGTAATTTGTAGCTGTAAAGAAGAAGTGTTTCATATGATGCTTAACCAGGCAAACACTGGGAAGTGCAAGAAACTATGCCAGCTTATCAGGTATGTCCAAATAATTTAATCTTAGGTGTAATACATCATTAGATTGGGTAAATTTTTTTATCCATTTTGTATGACATAATTTGCCTACAAAACAATGAGTTAAGTCAAAAATGAAATTTGATCAATGTATTTGTAAAATCAATCATAGCACATCTTTTCTATGAATTGAAGGACATGGAAGTATGATTGGTGCAACCACAGGGAAGGTTCTCGCATATGCTGTCCGATGCAAGAAATGTAAACAGTGTGACCAGGATATCAGCAATGACACAACCAGCAGTCACGATTGTAGAAAAAATTGGTCTGGATCATCCAAGTCCATGGAGCCTGACATGGCTGTAGAAATGTTACATAATTTGAAGGAAAAGGGTTTCATGTTAAAAACCTACTTATGGATAATGGCACGACAACAATATCCAAGGCGCGTTCACCTTTTGATCCATATCAATAAATTTTCAGACTTTAAGAGCCAAACTCTGTAATGATTTGTAATTTTATATAGGAGCTGTGGCACGAATAGTCTCAGAATTTCTCTAAACTCTCTATGATAAAAGTCATTGATACCCTAAACTGAAATCAGGCAAAAATTGGTTGCTATGCTTTATACATTAGTTACCATGGCAACATGTCTTAAAGTTCGAAAAATGGCATATTTTAACATGTCTAGAGCCCCATAGTTAACATTTGCGGCAAAGCAAACAATTGGCAATGACTGTTTCCAAAAGTTGAAGGTCAGATGTCTCAAATGCATAATAAACATGTTTGGTAAATCAACTATTACATACGTTACTATGGTAACAAAGTATTCAAAAGTAAAAAAAAAAATTTCATTGAAGTTTATAAATTCATACACGTAAAAATAAAAAACAATTATAGGATGAAATGTGACCAAATAATAGAAAAAAGAGCCTTGAAACATATACCAAGAACAAAATATGATATTTCATATTGGTTGGCAATGGTTGCCAAGGTTTTTATACCATATAGAGCCTTCAAAGTAACACTCTGTATTTTTAAATCTGATCCTATCTTTTAAAAAAGCACATTTCCCCATAACTAATGATCAATTTTTAAAGATGTTGGTGTGCTCCTAGTTTTCCCATTTGAAAAAATTCAGATTAGATTCTTTAAATAGAGAGTTGCTATGGAAATAAGCAGAAAATATATGCTTAAAAACCTGAAAAATATTTTCTTTCCTTGGATACGTACCCTTAAATGTAGATTCCCAAAACTTTTATGATTGATATTTATTAACAGCTAACCTGACTTTTAATTTTGACTATCATCCAATCTCTAAGTGGATGCAAGAAGTTGGCACACAGGGTTTAATATTGATATAAAGTTCACAAAATCGAACATTTTCCCTTCTTGGTAACCATAGCAACAGTGTTGTATTCTTCATCAAATTTTATCAATATATGATATTCAACTTCAGTTCTAACAGATAAGTACTATTCAAGCTGAGTCCTTTAATTTGTTCCTTGATTATATGGCAATTTAATTCTTAATGCAGCGAAAAATAATTCACTTTTAAGCACTGGTATTTTGTTTCCATGGTAACACTGCAAAGTAGCAATTATACCCAATTTTTCTCATGTATTTGGTGATGCAAGGTCCTAAGGATGCATATTTGCCAGTCTTGAATTTTCATGTTTTTCCTCAAGAAAGTAGCATTAACCCAATCTTAGTTACTGGTTTTGCATGGTTACACTGTGTTTCCATGGCAACCATAAAAGTTATTTATAGAATGATATTGCTTACACTTATATACTTAAGGTCAAACATTTTCATTATTTTTCTTAAGTCGTTGATTGAGTTTGAGCATGTAACACCTACCATTAGTGAATACGGAGTGTTTTTCAGCATTTTAAATGTATTCCAAATGTACCCTTGGTTACCACTTACTTAGAGATATATTCTAAACAGTTTCTTTACAGTATAAGTGACATCAAGGTGTCATGTTTTTGTGAGAATGGTTTGTTTGCTTTTTCTAGTTTTTATTAAGCCACAGTCAAGATTTAAAGTGGCTGAAAATCTCGATTTTTCAAATTTTCCGGCTGTTGCCATAGCAACCAAGACACTTAGCAACGAAATTTTGTTTGATATTTGTTTCTGGTGTCAAGTACTATGCATGGGTGAAGTTTCATCAAAATCGGTGACCATGCGTGGCAACGAAGTTCAAGTGGTTACAGAGAATGGCTATTAATCACACAAAGAAGAACTTCACTAATAAGTTGTATCAACTCAAAAAAGAAAAAAAGTATGCCTTACTGGGTCCTAAAGCTATCAAACATTTGACAAAATGTTTTGCCTATGTTGTAAAATCTATTACCCCACCTCTGTTGATTTTTCCGTGAAATCCTGGCTTACGATTGGTTGAAGTCTGTCACGTGAAAGCGGTGGATTACTTATACCCGGTCAGTTGTAAATCCATACCCGGTCAGTAAATCTATACCCGGTCGATGTATTACGTCACAAACACAAACGTGACGTCATAATAGGCACAGTATAAGCGCGATGAAGCATTTAGCAGAGAAAACCATTTATAAACTACAGATAAAACGTAAATGTTTCATCGGTGGGGTAAATTCGTTACATAGTCATTTAGTGACAGGGT